GCATATGTACTATGTATGTACTTAATAAAGAAATCATTTACACCAGATTATTGTCAAGTTTGTTTCAAATAAAATGATGCTTCGACTTTGGCACTGGACGTTTTTTCTTTTTTGACTTACTTGAATTACACTAATATAGCATGATAAAAGAATCAATAATATCGATTCAGATATAACTATGTACTTATTAAGAGTCTTGTAATATAAATTACGTGTAAATATTAAAAAAGATAAATACATAGCAAAAGAGATATTGAGTAATATTCTTAACCATGTGCGTGTTTTAACCGCATCAGTATTTTATTATATTTTGGCGAATTAAGTAATTAATATTAGTTATAAAATCATAAAAGTTTCACATAGTAACACACACACGGTGAAATTTTTTCACAAATAATTTTGTAAAGATATAAAAAAATCAGGAATCTCTTGTGAATTGTATCTACTTCTTAAGCTGTTTAATGTAAGTCTTTTGTAGGACATTTAAAGGCTTGATGTTCTTAATACTTATAGTACTATTACATATAATGTGCGAATGATGCTTTAAAATTTTGATGCAAAAATTACCAATCAATTTAATGTTATAAACTCATCTTTTAACGAATTATATATCAATTATATATTAAGAATCAATTTTTATAAAATCAATTCCGCTAATATTATTAATATATACCAATCTCGCATGAATTGAAACTTCTTTCTTGTATTTGAGTAATTTTTGCAACAAATTTTATACGTAACTAAACGTGTAGATTGAATAATATTCGCTTTCAGATATTCTACCTTAAATTGGATTTCTATAGTTTAAAAATAATCAGCTTGTAAATTGTATAAAATTTCGAAAAAGAAAATATATAATTATCATTTAAATATATGACGATAAAGATTCGATAAAGATATCAAATAAATTAATAATAGAAAAAAATAATTCGAAAAATAGAATAATATATAAAAGAAAATAAAAGCTAACCTTTGCTTAAATATACATGGAAATAGTTTTTGAAATAAAGTACGAGTCTGATTAAAGAAAGAATGCATACTATGTATACAGAGATTGCAAAAAGAACAAGTAATGTCATCCGGACATTTACATTTGTTTCATTATCTTGGCCTCTTGTTCGGCCATTGGCCACCTGCCTACTGGGAGGAGAATGAATCTGATAGCGGTAGGTGGCCTGAAGTCAAGCTCAGGAATGCCAACGAGACTTTTGCAGTTCAATTTGACCTTCTAATGTCTTGGCAAGATAAATGACAAAAAGTTGACTAAGAGCTATACCTAAAGCAATACCAGCTATTGTGTACAAATTACGTTCAGCCCAACTTCGTACGATTTCGATGCAACCACTAGTCCATACTTTCTTGCCTGCTTCGGATACCGGTAGCATTTGTACTTTATAGCCACACATTATATTCACAAGACCACTCTAAAAATTCCAATGATATTTTAAATTACGTATTCTCACTGATAAAATGTAAAACACTTACTGATATATCTGTAGCATTGATGCAACATGAAAATGGTGCGCCACACCGTTCTACACTAGGACTGGAACAATTAAAATATTCATTCTTTCCCCAATCCAAATATCCTTCTTGACTTAAGCCGCAACACCTAAACTGTTCATGAAAATAATAATTTTTTAAATATTGTTCATTAGAATACATCCTAATAAATGTCTCTTTATATCCTTACCTTTTGTTGTCCAAAGTCAATAAAATTTTGTAAATCAGGATCTTCCCTGTAAGTTTGTATGATTTTATCTGTAAATGATTCCTCCAATAATGATTGCAATGTATGCGGGAATACAAAACCGACAATTGCAATACCCATTTCAAGTAGAAAGAATACCAATAAACATAATGAATACTGAAATAGATGTGTATTATTTGTGTATTAACAAACTTCATACGATAACCTATATCTGACGATACTTACAAATTTAAGAAGACAAGTATTTTCGCGTAATGCTCCAACACATCCTGCAAAACTAACAACAAAGACTACTCCTCCCGCAATAACCATCACAAGTGAAATATTGAGGATCACATCGTATACATTTTCCACTCTGACAGAACCCGTTGCTTGCCATTTATCCACAAATGCGTATAAACCTACTCCAATTAGAAGTCCTCCAAATAACTGTATGATAACACGAGACAATTAAAATTTCATTCCAGTAAGATTTTTTTATAAATATTTATTTATTAAACGATAAACGACTGTTTATATTCTATTTATTAATGATAATAATAATGAGAGGTAATTAATGGAATGAGAAATATAAAACATTCGCTTACCCAAAAAACAAAATTGAGCATAAATATCATGTATTTCACACAAGAACTAACATAAGTGAAGTTATTTGTTCGCCTTCGATTATTCATCATGGTAAAGTAGAAATTGTTTTATAGAGATATTAATTGGTATGTACAAGAGATTCGCACTTTTAGTTATATATACAAATTACATCGATTGCATTAGTTATCTCATAATTTCATGTACTTAACGCATACTTGCTACCTTTCCGCTTAATCGTTGATTTTGCGTATAAATTGTATTTGATCGTTCATGAATCAAAGAAAAAACATAATGCACCATACTTTGACAGCTTACTTTGCATCCGCCATTACACTTCTATTTCTCGTATTCCTTGAATCCAAGTTTCAAATCAGCTGTCCACGCATTCCACGTTTCAGCGGAATAAACGGAATACATTTGTGTATAAACTATCAAACGTGACGAAATTTAAAACGAAACGAAATTTTTAGTAGTTTATTAGTAGTTTGATATTAATTTAATGCTCGTTACGTGTATATATTAAACAGCAAGATAAAATTATTGCTTGAAAAAAATGACATCGGTACAAGACAGTAAGTTTATTTGTGTGTCAAAATTTATGACATCGAGGTTAACAGAGTAATTAAATATTAATACGTAGTTTCTAAATTTAAACAATAATAGGTTGCAATTATGTCATAAACGTCATAAATACTAATATCATGATGATAAATGATATAACATATCGTTACTATATTCATCTTTGTATGCTTGTACAAAACATAAAAGCTGCTTCTTAACCTATAAAATGTAAACAACAATCTAGTATTTCAAAATATTAATATTGCATCTTAGAAATACTTATATTAAAAGAGTATTAAAAATGTCGATTATATAAAATCAAACGTAATTTATATTTATTGATAATTACAATATTCGTTTGTAGGATTAAAATTAAAAAGATCATATGATACATGGAGTACTCGTGAACAATTATGTTTAGCTTCTAGTGTATTAAAATCAGGAGATCAAAATTGGATAAGCGTATCACGATCGTTGAAAGCAATTGTTGAGAAAGAAACGTTAAGACCACCAGATTGGTTTTCTCAAAAATCTTGCGCCATTCAATATGCACGTTTGTTGGAAAATGCAGATACTCCCAAGAGGAAAAAAAGAGAAAGTGGAGAAACTACGGGTGAATCGATAGTTAGAAAATTAACGCAAGAAAGGATAGTCGAACTAGGACAAATATTAGCTTTTCAGAGAGACGAATACCAACAGCTTAAAGCTGAAATAAATATGCTGAAATCTGGATCGATGTCAGAGGAAAAATTACAAAAGATGTGGCTCACAATGGAACAGGAAGAACGGGAACAAGAACAAAAAGCAAGAGCACATTCGGTGTGGTTAGCAAAACGTCAACAAAAGCAAGAATTAAATTCACCGCAAACAGTAGCTAGTATAAATCAACGTAAATCTGCTGAAAATACCATGGAAATTCAGGAAACTGTAGAAAGTGTAGATGAAGATGAAAAGAAAGCTAGAGGAGGAAGGTCACCGTTATTAACAAGTCTATTAAAATCGCCAAGTCCAACGACGCAAATTCAAACCTCAACTACTACGGCACAAGTAAGCTCTCCTACAATCACAAGCTTACTTGGTTCCAGCCCTAAAGTACCAAATTCTCAATTAACGCAGAATGTATCTCCGCAATTACATCAGTTGGTTACTTCTGCAATTTCAAGTATATCATCGGAAAGACCATCAGTTGGCGCACCAACTTTATCTATGTTATTAGAAATGCCTGCAAATGCACAAAGAGGTCCTCTACCTAATTTACAGTCAACTCCAACTATTGTATCTCAGCAAAATGTGCCTACCGAAGTTCGTAATCTCCAACCTCGACCTATACATCAAGTTACGATACAAAATGAAACACCTATACCTGCTCAATCTCTTACAATTAACACTACAATTCCATCTACAGAAAGCATGGTACAGATTATAGATCATATAGATGATGTAATACGTAAAGATATAATGGCTGATGTAATAGACAAGGATGAAATTAATGAAATTATCGGCGATATAGAAGAGTTGATAAAAGAAGAAATTACTGGTAGTCCGCAAACTTTAGATACAACTACATCAACTATCAATACCCTTGATACTCTTCCTCAAATTCAAGAAGTACCAGTGGTAACAGAACGACCAGAACCTAGAGATGTAGATGAAGTTGTATCACTTTCTAATTCACCGGAAAGTGAAATGGCTATTGAAGAGATTGATTCCAGCACGTCGAATATTGCAGAAATTATAGGGACAGTAGCCATCGAACCGCAAGAACCTAAAGTTATTGTTGCTGAAGTATCTGAAACCATACCAAATGCATCTGAGGAAATAAAGTCTGAAAAAAGTTCATGTTATGAAAGAGTAACGTTAAATGAAGAGCTTGTTCCTGAATTGGATCCTCAGGATGGTGAAAATAGCAAAGATACTCCATTGGAAGAAAAACAAATTGTTGAGGAATTTGATACTATGGATTCTACTTCAAATGTAGAAGCTGAAGAAAGTGATTCAAAAATACCTACGAAAGAGTTAATGGATGAAATAGCAGAAGATGAAATGGAAGAAGAAGAAGAAACTGATACAGTAATTGTATCAGAAATTAAAGATTCACCTACTAATAAATTACAACTCTCTGAAGAATTGGAAAACAAAGGCAATATGGAATTGGATCAATTAGAAATGCATCTTGCTAAAATTACAGGTGAACAGCAAGATGTCCGATCAGCAGAGGTTGTTAGTGTTTCGTCTGAAGTAACAAATGATCTTCCTAGTACCGAGGATACAGAAAAATCACAAGATATTAGTTTAATCTTAGAAGATGATGAGAGTAGTTCTGACGATAAAAAGAAAATAACAGAGGAACAGATAATAGAAAATACAATTGAAAGTACAGAATCTATTGAATCGTTTAAAGAAGAACCTATAATTGTAGTCAAAGAAAAAACTATCATAGAAGTGAGCGAAGAATCCCCAGAAAAATCTCACGAAGAACAAACGGAAGAAACTTTAGAAATTTATACAGATGAATTTAAGAAAGAAGATGTAAAAGATTCTTCTGAAGATACCGCAAGCTCTATTCTGCAAGATATAGAAATAAAAGAAGAAGAAATAGAAGAAACAACAATTGTAGAAGATTCTACTCAGTTAGTATCGCCAAAAGAAATAGAAAATTCAAAAACAGAATCTGTAATTCCTATTAAATCCGAGTTTGATATTTCTATTATTAGGAAAGAAGAAAATACATACGAAGATTCAAAAATGGAAGTAGAAACAAAAATTCAATTGGAAAATTCTTTGGTGTCAGATGTGCAGAAAGAAGTTCGAATAAAAGAAGAAAAGGAAGAGAAAAAAAGTATAGATAGTGAACAAAATGTGAAAAAAGAATTAGAGTCTATAATAAGTGCTGGAGAAGATACTACTGAATTAGATGAAGAAGAATCACCATTAAGCAAATTAAATGGAGGACGTGCTATGAAAACTTATTCAAAAAAACAAAACGTTTCTATTGATAGTGAGCCTGAAAATGAAGGTACTGGAGAAGGTGCAGATTATAGAGCATGGAAGAAAGCAGTCATGTTGGTTTATAATCGACTTGCCACGCATAAGTATGCATCTGTGTTTTTGAGACCTATTACAGAAGATCAAGCACCTGGATATCATTCGGTCATCTTCAGACCTATGGATTTGTCTACCATTAAAAAAAATATAGACAATGGAACAATTAGATCTACAATGCACTTTCAACGTGATGTTATGTTAATGTTTCAAAATGCTATTATGTATAATAAACATGATACCTTTATTTATAAAATGGCGGTTTCAATGCAGGAAGAATGCCTACAGCATATGCAGGTAAAAATAAAAATATAATAGTGCTTTGTTTATGCATAATTACTATTTTCAAGAAATGCAACTATTTATGCATATTGCATAAGATTCATATTTTCAAGAAATGCAATTGTTTATGCATAATTTAATTTCTGTTTAGATATTGGTACAAGTTACAGGGGATGGAACACTTAGGAGAGAAACAAGAACTGCAGCAAGTAGTAGTAGTGAAGCTAGTGAAAGTAGTATAAAAAGAAAACGAAGTCACATCACTCCAAGTCCTCATGATACAGACAGCCCACGTTCGAAAAAACGTAGAAAATCAGAGAATGATTAGAAAATTATCCTATTTATGTACATACATATGTATAATGTGATGATGCATTAAAGTTCTTAAGAACTTCATTGAAAAAAAAATGACAGAAAGGATAAATTGTCTTATTGGCATTAAGGGGTAATGCTGGATATGCAAAATATGTGAAGTCTACAAAAAGAAATATAACAGTCCGAAATTTTGTTTTGTTATTTTCAAATTATAGTACAGTGAAGTAGATTTTATATTAATAATTAAAAAATTGGTTTTTTCTTTCTTAAAAACATTATAACTACATATTATATGTCTAATAAATAATGAAAATAATTACTTATTTATATAATAATTACTAATATTACTAATATTAATTAATTTTAAATAATTATTTTTAAAAAATTTAATATTTTTATTTAAAAGAAATTTAATAAATATATTTTATAAAATAATTTTTTTTCAATATTAAGAAAAGATACGTATTAAATAAACATTTTAAATTATAGCTTGTAATGCAATTTTTTTATACCATAAAAAAAAGCCTGCCATTTATTCTAAATGCAGGTCTTACAAACATTTAAATTTTGAACACAAAATAAAAAAAAAATCATTAGTGTAACAAATATCAAATAAATGTAGGAAATCAGAATTTTATAACTGTACAATTTTTGACAAAATTTACATAAAATATATAATGGGTTATTATGCTAGCGGCGATACACGAAAAACTATACAAACTTCCGAAGATGACGAAGGTTATGAAAATCAATCATCCTGTACTACAATATCTGTTGGGGTATTAAATCAATTAAATATTAAAGATAAACAGTACTTTATATTTGGAATTTCTCAAAATATTGTAAGTTACAATTATATTAAAATGTATACTTTTATTTTTTTGAGAATATTCTTATTTTTTAAGTCACCAGCACCACCAATATCCGATGACACTGATCGACCATTTTGGGCTGAAGATGAATTAAGTACTTCAGAATCAAAGCATCAGTTAAACGAAAAACAGAAACGTCGACGTAGCTCGTCTTATCGTAATCGTATCGCTGTACACAGAAGTCGATCTTTACTTTTTCAATCGTCAAGTTCTAGTTTAGATTCACTGTGTGAACAAATTTCACCTGGAGGTACTTTCTTATTGATATAAATATACATATGTATATTTATTTGTTACAATAAAGTATACATATATTTATTTATTTAAAACAAACAATTTTCTGTATAATTTTAACATAATTATCATAGTTCATAAACAGGAACGATCTACAAGCCGATTCAACGTAGAACAACCTAGCTACAAAAATATAAAGAAAAAATATAATGTACGTAAGAAAGGAACTTTCTTAAATAACGATAAAATTAATTATATAAGATGTAAAACTTTCAGTCGAAAATAAACGCAGAAGCATCATGCATTTATAATAAATAAAAAGTTTTACCAAAAGTAAATTGTTTAGCACTGTCTTAAATAGTGACGTCTTTTTTCAAAGTTAAATCAAGGTACGGTATATATGTTCGCTATTTCCTTTTTTTTGTTTGTTTTAAGGAATGTATCATCATATTTGATTCTTATCTATTATTATAAATTTAAGTGGCTATCAAGCAACTGTAAACAAGAATAATTATAGTATTCGTAAACATATTTGTTCCTGTTACAAATCAAATAAGGATTGTACATATAAAGTACAAAATACAAAAATACATCTATTTTAAAATACAATTAACACAAAATTAAGAAATTGAACATATTATCAGCTATGTACTTTATAATCAACGATCGAGATAAAAATGAATATAAGAAGCTCGGCAAACTTCGAATTCGTAAGTTATTTTACTAGAATTAATATAAATATTATAATCTTATAATACATATATTAATTTGGAAAATATGAATTTTTATAAATGTCTTTTGTTTAATTTATTTTTTATGTATAATTAATGTTGCCAAAATATATATGCAGCACTACCGCCATATTACGTTTTATCAGGCGCTAAATATTTAAACTTCGAATATACCTAATAGATCAACAACACATGTGTCCATGTTCTTTTTTTAAATTTCAGAAACAACACTACATCCTGCTTTTACTCTAATCTTCTTGGGCTTTTGTATGATATTTTTAATATTATCAGCATGGAATTTCAATAATACATTAAATCGGACGATTACCAGTCATGTATTTTATCTAAATTCAAGACAACCGCTTTTACATACTGTGTCAGACAAATTTTTGTCATTCGGTCTTGATACATCGTTACTTCGTGATATGAAAAGTCTCCCAATAAAAGATAATAAATTTATAAATTTAGCTCGACATCTTGCACCAGCTTATGTTCGAATAGGTGGTACATCTGCGGACTGTCTTCATTTTAATCAAGTTGGTCTACTATTGTAATATGCATATTTATTTGAAAATTAAATACCAATTACTTAAATACCAATTAAATTATATATGATATAGACGACAAAAATAATATCCGAAGAAATAATTAATCCGGTAGACGGCCAAGATATAAATAATTTTACAATTAACGGGATGGACTTTGAAAATTTATACAAGTTTGCTGCAGAATCAAATTTGCGAATGATATTCGACTTAAATGTATTAATTAGGGCTGATAATGGATCTTGGGATGATATTAATGTCAAAAATATAATTTCATTTGCCAAGAATAAAAACATGAAACTAGATTGGCAATTAGGAAATGGTAAGTATTTTATTTATTTTTTTTTCAAATATTTTATTTTATAAATAAATTTATAATGATCGTAAAATTTCAGAACCAAATTCTTTTTATCATGTATTTAACAGAAATGTTAGTGCAATTCAACTTGCACGTGATTATCATCAATTAAGACAATTATTAAATGAAGTAGGATACAATGAAAGTCTTCTTGTGGGTCCAGAAGTAAATCATGTAGGAGATACAGATCATAAGGGAGAGTATTATGTAAAAACATTTTTAGAAAATGATAAAAATAGTGTGAACTATGTTACTTGGCATCAATATTATCTAAATGGAAGAGAAGCTCGATTAACTGATTTTATAAATATTTCAACTTTTAATTATTTACCAAAACAAATTAAATCTATGCAAGAAGCAATTAAATCATCAGGAGAACTTATCTCTATGTGGTTATGTATGTAATTGTTATGTAATCATATTAATTTCTTTTAAATACAGTTCAAAAAATGAAAAAAACTCTTTTGTAGCAGAAACAAGTACAGCTTATGGTGGAGGAGCTCCAGAATTGTCGGATAGATTTGTGGCTGGATTTTTATGGCTTGATAAATTGGGATACAGTGCCATTGCAGGATTGAATGTTGTTACCAGGCAATCATTGTTTGGTGGAAACTATGCTATGATTGGGCCTGATCTTATGCCAAATCCTGATTGGTGGATTAGTGTAATTTATAAGAAGTTTGTTTCGGAAAAAGTTTTAAGATTATCAACATCTCTCGAGTATTTACGATTTTACGCACACTGCACTCCAAGAAATGGATTGCCATGGATTGGCAAAGTTTCAGCAATTACGATATATGGAAGTAATCTAGCTAACTTTTCTGTTCCTATTAGTATTCAAGGAATTCCTGTGTTTCACAGAAATGCTAAAGCTTTTCTATATGTACTTACTTCTGACAGTTTGCAATCAAGGTATGTAATAATTATTTTTCATAAAAATAAATTATGTAATGTTTATTTCAATCGTTTTTAGAACAATAAAAATAAATGGACAAATATTAAAATTGCAATCTAATGGAAATTTACCATCGTTTCAACCTATTGTATTTGAACCTACGCAACATATTATTTTACCACCTTATTCCATGACATTTATTGTAATACATGGTGCAAAGGTTCCAGTATGTTATATATAAATAAATTTATACTATACATAAATTCGATTAAATTATTTTATATTGTACATTTCCTATACATTAAAAATTTACATTATGGAATCTTACAAAACATATTTTTACAATCATATTAGTAAAGAAAAATTAACTAAACAATTACAGATTATGAGTGCGCACGTATATATGCAATTATATTAACACTATTTGATATATGTATCTCATTATAATCAACATCTGGTGTATTATAATACAAAGACTAATGTATATATGATTTTTTTTATAAACCACTTTTTTTATTGTGCCACTTTCATTCAGCCATTAATATATCACAACATTGTTCTATCGTTGAAAGATATTTAAAGTAGCATATTTACTTATTTATTTGCTAGTATACTGTATTATATTCTTTTGTAACTATAAAACAAAACATTTTTCTGAAAATTATACATTACAAATACTACATAAAGAAAAACCATAATACACAAGAAGTATATAAATACTGAAAATAGTACAATGCTAGGTTGATGGAATGATTAAATTTATCATTATCTTACAGGAAAATATTATTGCATGAAATTAAAATCAATATTACAATTAAGCGTATTTAAAAAACAGCACTAACCAATTTTAATGTATATTATACATATACAAATTATTGCAACTGAAAATGTATTTGACAATTTATTATTGTGTTATAAGATACTATGTATGTACATAATATGTTTAGTAACATAATATTATTATATATTATTCTTGAGCTGAAATAGTAATTGTTTTTCCTTTGGGATCATCAAATCTATCCATTGTACGTATATCTATAATCATGGTAAGAGCCCAAATCATAATTAAAGCTAATATGGCAGTAACAAATATACCTGCCCAAATTGGAATTGTAGTAAAACCGATACAATCATATGCATCATCAAATACTTTTACATTGTTATTTTTTGTTGGATCAAGTTGTACTTGTAAATTTGTTATATTTAAGATTGTAGAACTATTGTTAAATGTAATACTTTGTGAACAATGATAAGAGAAATTAAATGGAAAAACAATATCTGTATTTGTTGTTAAACTTTGATCATTGACAAAAGTTGCATCAGAAGATTGATAATTAACTGTTTTAAGTGTATAATATCCTGGAGTTTTAACTTCAAACATAAATTCAAATGTATATGTAGGTAAATTAGGTGTACTAAACTTCATGACCAAGGTAGATGAAGATTCTGTTTTACCTGATTTATCTGAAACTGTGGGGTTAGATGAAAATTCTATTTCATCTTTGTCTTCTTCAAGCTATCAAATATAACAATATTATCCATTTTTTTTTTGTTTGTCTTTTATTATAAAGAAAGAAACTTATAATTAAAATTACCTTCAGTGATAATGGTTTACTAGCATAGAATAACACTCTGTTTGATGCAACAAGAAAAGGTTCATTAGTGTCCCTTTTTATTCGCTCAGAACGTCTATAACTACAGGCTTTTCCTGTAAGTATAGCTATCAAATTAGGGCTAGAATCCTTTATTGTCTTGTACGTCTCAGGAATAACATCTAAATTACTAATTGGCACAATCAATAATTGCCCATCAGATATAAAATCGACATAATCATTATAGGTTTGATTATATGAAGGTAAGTCTTCAACGGTATTCACTGCTTTTTCAACAGCAGGAAAATAACGTAGAGAATCGCTACTAATGACTTTTTGAAGATGCTAAAAAATTTAAAGAATTGTATTAATATTTAACTCGGTAAGCAAATGAATTTAACTGTATACTATTATAAAATATATTGCACTAACCTGTTTGTGTTTCACTAAATCCTCAATACAGAAATTATCTTTTATATAAAGAAGAACTGGAGGTGAATTTTCTAATGTTTTACGCAGGAAAATATCAAATTCCTCGCTGGTACTCTTTAAAAAAGGATTCACTGCACTTGTTAAATCAGAATTAATTGACCCACCCCATAGCAATACAGGTACTGCATTATCAGCATGTGAAGGTGAAATTTGAAATACAATGTTTATAAGAATAAATATGAAACAGCAAATATTACAAAATTGTGTCATCATGTTCTTAGGCAAACACAACTGGGCGAGTCGGATAGGTATTGATAGACTGCGTTCGACCAGAAAGTAACAGAGCACCTGACTAGGCTAAGCTAGAATCATATGACAGACGTCACGTGATAACTTTGTTTCCGGATTTCAAATAAACCTTCATTTCGAATTAAGCCAATCCATTTTATGAAATTGTTTATTAAACAGAGTGAAATGTGAAAAATTATTTCGCAGGCATAAAAATTTTCGTCGTATTAGATCCCCTCAGTTCAATTCTTTTAGATTTCATTAATTTTTTAGTTCAAAATGGACAAAACTGAAGGAAAACAGGAAACTATCATGTATTCGGTTTGTACTCGTGCAGATCTAACCAATAAATTACGTCATTAATTTATTATTTTATTAATATTAGCAACTGCAACCGTGGTCCACAGTGGGTGTACTACCGTGCATGGAGCAAATTGCTGGTCCACCGATACCGGTTAGAGTTGGGGAATTCTACAAAACGCCAAAACCACATCCTTGGCGTCCTACTTTAGGATATGAAATCATCGAAGCATCTCCTCTGTAAGTGTTTTCATTAAATTTCTTATATCTCAGTTTATTTTTTAAGAAATTATTTGTTCTCTCATCTATGGTTATCTTAGGCCTGCACAACCTATGACAAATTTGCTCGCTAATACCTGTTACATGCCGAAAGGAATGGCTACAGAACCGTTGCGATTTCCAAATCTAGTGACTGGTTTTGATAGAAATCCGGCACATGCAGCACGAGCTGCACTCTTCACAAAATACGGACCGTATGAATGGATGCAAAATCAATTAAAACTTTACAACGAATCGAACAGCAATAGAAATTTTTCTGAAAACTTACGACAGGATACTGTTCGAATGATGCGGTAAAACGATTGTAATAGTCTTTTTAAATGATCATGTTAAGCTGATCTAATTTCAGAGAGGCCAATGAAAAAATACAGAACGGTCAAACTGAAACTGGCCGTAAATTAGGAGAAAGAATTACAGATACTACCTTTTGGAGAAATGAGGTGGCTTCAGAATTAGAGAGATTGATAATAGAAAATGCAAAAATGCAAGACTGTCGTCGAAACCTGCAGACTACGATACAAAGTTTAGAAGGTCAATTGCATATAGCGCAGGAATGCTTATATTATCGCGAAGCTAGGACAGGTTTGTTTCTGTAAATCAAAATCATTTTTTTTTTTTTTTTTTT